TTGTGCCACATGTGTGGCTGAGATGGAAAAAAAAAAAGGGGGGGGGGGAATGAACGACTGTGATTAAAAGAAAAGGTTAGAAAGGAGGAGAAAAGGGGGGGACCAATGGGGGAGAAGAATTGGGAGGGAAAGGAGAGAAAGAGAGAAGCATGGGAAACCGGGCTCTCCCCCAACCCATGACCCGACCCAGCCACCTTTTGAATTTCTGGCCACATTTGACGACGGCAAAGGTGCCAAAATGACACTCATGTTTTGCCATTCAATCTCCCTCCTAATTTCTCTCTAAAATAGTCAAATTTGGGGTTCAAATTTTATGCAAAACCCTCAAAGGAGGGTGCGGCGGTTTCACCAATTATGAAGCTAACTCCTCCAACTACTACTACCAAAACACTCTCCTCAAACCCAGGAACAAAGCCCATGCTTTGGTTGGGGCGTCAGAGTTGGTTTGGAGTTGAATCAAGAACATCCAAAAATAAGGATTCCGGCGGTTCGTGGCCAAATTGAGGTGTTTCCCGACCAAATTGGACTTGGCTGCAGGTATAAAGTTTGCTCAACTCCTTGAGATCTTCATTTCTGTAATTTTTGAGAAATTTTAGAAATAGTTGAGTTTTCCAGCGAGCTGGTTGACCGCCACCCGCGGCAATGCACGGCCAGGGAGCCGACATTGTGTTGTGATGTGAATTTCGTTATTATAATTATGCTTCTGAGACCTAACTTCTATGGTTTAAATGTCAATACGATTGTGGTATATGTTGGACTAAATGAATATTTTCGGGTTTGGTTTGCATTTTTGAAAATGTGAACTACGAATGGCTTGATCCCTATTTAGGGTACGTAGGCAGTCCAACGAGATGTGAGATGCAGCCATAAAATAAGTAGATTAAATACTTCGAGAATAAATAATTAGAATGAGATTTGATCTATAAAGGAAGGTGGTGACAAAGTGTGAAAAGAAATAGTGCATTTGATATAGAAATTGTGATTGTGGACCATGGATGGAAACAAGACCTATAAGTAAAGAAACACGATAAGTAGGAGCTAATTAATCGAGGTAAATCTTTTGTTGAACGATTGGGCTAACAAAAGAGAGTTTGGGTTAATAACTTGAGTTTTATCCTTATGCTTTGATAATTAAATGTTGGTTATAAATTTATTGTGAGGATTCATGAAATTAAAGTGTTTAATTGGGATTAATGGTATGTTAACTAAACAAGAGTTCAGTCTGAGCCTATCACCAATATACTTATTTTCCCGAAATAAAACAAATATTTCAGGGTCGGGACGTGACAAAAATCCCTTATTTTGTAACCTTTAAAAAAAATGTAAATTCAATAATTCAAAAATATTTCATAAAAGCAATTTAAATAAATCATAAGTATATAAATCCATAAAACATAATAGAAAAACATATTCAACTCATGAAATATGCCATGCATGCAACCCTAACAATTTATAAAATACGCAATTTAAGAAGAGGTCCACCTGCAAATATTCCACTATTGGAGAACCACTCAAACTAGGGAGGACTGGATCACTTCCAACCGATGCACCATTTTGGAGTTGTGTTGTGGTCGGAGTTGGCCGAAAATTGGCTCAAAAGCCGTCGGGTCTCAACGAAAAATATGGAGAACAGTTCCCGAGGTATCCTTGTGTTCAAACACTACCAAAACACCTCAAAAACTACCTAAACACAGTACTAAACACGATCTAGGAAGATTTAGAGGTAATTTCGAACTTAAATCGTCAAAAATAACGTGCACAATGTCGAGAAGGAGAGAAAGTGTGAGATCAGAGGGTGAGGGAAGAAGGAAGAATCCAGGTGGTTGATGCAAAAATTAACTTAACACACAAATTAAACCCTCTTTTGACAATTGTAGTATATAAGTAAGTAGGGATCGTTCTTAAACCGGGGATTAGGAGGGATTGCTAAACACTTTAAACTGATTCAAATAAATAAAACTAAACTTTAAAACACTTAACTCAACTTAAAAGACTCAAAAACAAGTTCACAAGACTCAAAATAAGCTAAAAACACTTAAAACTGCCTAAAAAACACAAACTGGGCATATTTGACTCTAAACACAAAATTGGACGAATTTTGGTTTTAACTTGACTCAAAACTCTTGAAAACACAATCTAAAACATATTCTAACTAGTTAGACACTCTAAAATAAATGGGGATTTGGTTTTGGACGAAAATAAAACAAACAAAGCAAGAAATTAAACTTGCATGAAATTGGTGGAATTAAGTGGATGGTAGGCTAGCTAGGAGGTCTTTCACCACACATGACATACTTGCATACAAAACAATCTCCAGTTGCTTATTCAATGAATCATGAACCTCAACACCCCAAGTTAATTAGGTACGCTTAAATTAACTCTCAGATTTTCCTTAGGTCATTGAATTGAATGGAATTAGCGAATTGCAATCAAATTATTCCTCAAAAGTTCTCTGCATGAAAGCACATAAAAGAGAAACAATCAAAGTTCCTTAATTTCTATGAAAATCATAAGTGTTGACGAGGCACTCGTAACTATGAAAGCGCATGATACTTATGCCAAGAATTTACTTAACATGATTGTGACTAACAACCTTTACTACTAATGAATATAAGTTCCCAACGATTAGGTGAAGTTTCCTTATATCCTAGCATCAGATTTATGCATGCAAATTAAGTGTGCACTCTCAATCCATATACATAAACAAGTTTTAATTCAAATAGATAAGTGAATTGAATTCACAATTCATGAAATCACAACTGGAAGTAATCAAATCATAATGCAAATATAGCCATGGTTTTGAAATTCCCCCTAGCTAAGAGGGGATTAGTTCCTCATACTCACAAAACAAAGATTATTGAATTTAAACATTGAAATCACAAGAAAGATTACACCTAAAACATTCCAGCGACTCCAACTCAAATGGCATGCACGTCTAGGGCTCTCCTCCTTCTTCCTTGCTGCGGCACAAGATGTGGTTGGTGGTTTTGGGGGTTTTGAATGGTCTGTTCTTGTTTAGGATGATGAATAATGACTGATTATGGTGGTAGAGTGTGGCAGGTTGTGTATGGAAGTGTATGGAGTGAATGAATGAAGGAGAATGGAGGCTAGGGCTTGCGGCAAGAAGTTTCTGAATAGCATAAGGGGGTGATTCAAAATTGTGACTGAAAATATGTTTATATAGTCTTAGGGTTAATTAGATTAGGGTTACACTTAGCAGATTTATTGGATTAGGGCCCTAGGGTTCAGCAATAAATGATTAAATCCACCTAGGAGGGAGTTTGGCCCAATTAGTTTCATAAAAGGATTTGTGTAACCCAAATCCACAAGGAATGAGGCCCTAAAAATCAAAATCCAAAAGGGATAGGGCCTAGAGAGGTGCGGCACATATTGGAGGGAAAGAAGGGATGGCTTGCAAGGCAAGGCAAGGACTTTTAGAAGGGAATAGGCGCCACCGTTGTCGGGTTTCTAGAAATAATGTGCTTTGTGGCTGATTTGGGACTTCTAGAAGAGAATGCTTCTAGAAATAGGTTCTAAAAATATCTATTTAGGTCCCCTTGCAACTAGGATTAAGGCATGATAAGGTTAGGATAGGATAAGATAAGATAAGGTTTTGGATAATGTTGGATAAGGTTTTGGATAATGTTTCCTCTTTTGAGCTAATTCCTTATCCACTTTGTCTTGAGTTTAGTTCCTTCATCTTTTCATCAGATTTCTAGCCTTTTGAACTCCAAATTTGTCCATCCATGTTGGCCCGTATACAAGCTATCTACTTAGTCCCAAAACTGCTCCAAAATGCACTTTCTTGGTACTTTAACCCTTTGGACCTACAAACACACGAAAATGAGTTGAAACGCTACATTAACTAAGAAATAATAACACAAATGCACAAGAATAAGCTAGCTAAGTCGCCTAAATATGCTCCTATCAATGGTGGTGATGGTGTGGTCGTGGTGGTTGTTGTCTCTATGTATATGTGTATGTGATCGCGCTCACCGAAGAGAAGAAAAGAGTAGAGACGAGAGAGAGAAAGAGGGGGAGTTCTAGAGAGAGAGATGTCACGGGAGTAGGGAGAAAAGGGCACCAGAAATGGGGGAAGACATGCCACATGTCAGCCATGTAGAGGCCCAAAGTGGAGAAAAATCTCTACTTGTGAAATTGCCAAATTACCCTTGTCGTTCAAAAATTGTAGAAGTTTCATTTTAGCTCCAAATTCGATTCCGATCGTGCCTACATGTTTGTATTGACGAGAGCTGCAAAAATAAATTAAACGAAAATTTTTAACAAGTCAACAGACAATAGCCAACGAAAGTCAACCTTTCCATTATTAGGGGTATTTCCGTAATTTTAACTAATTAAAATGTAATTATCGAATCGAAATGGGTCGTTACACCTCGCAAGTATTTAGTTCAAATTCATCTTTAGCGAGAATCGAATTTAATACCTCTCACTCACAAATGAAGAGGTTAAACTATAGTACTAAATGGCAATTAGTAGACATTTTAATTACAAGAAAAGTCGCAAGTGGTGTATTGCTTTAGCAGTTACGGGTTTCCTCTTCAACTCATTGTATATTGGGTCAAACCCTCCCACTCTCATTAGTATAGATAAGCGATATCATTTTTTTTTTTTTTTTGGAAGACTCAGCGATATCAGTTTTACTAAAAAGAAAATTACAAGAAAATCCATTTTGGAAAATGGTACTATTTATTAGGGTCTCATGTTAATTTGATCTGAACACGCAACTCCCCATTTTGGAAAATGGTACTATTTATTAGGGTCTCATGTTAATTTGATATGAACACACAACTCCTAACATGGGATTTTTTTTTTCTTTCTCCATCACAATCTGGAATGATTAAAATGTGAAGAATTGTGGATCAAAACTTACACGATTTTTGCCTAATCGATAATCTTATTTGTCATGACTCATGAGTCATGGCAGAGTCGCAGACTAACCGGCTCGAAATAATTACTAATAAAAGAAAATAAAAAAAAAATCCCTGTAAAATGCCAATTCATACTCCCACAATGGTGCCAGAATCCAATGTATACAAAGCCTATAATCCATTTACTATTATTTCCGCAACAAAATTGCAACACAATCTGACATAAAGCCAAGGGCAGGTGATAGAACAAAATGATTTCGCCTATAAATTCTTCGACGTCGGAATCTTCAATGAAGTAAATTACATTAATGTCCAATACATGACAGTTCTTATGATCTAGATTCTAGGACAACGTATAAGAACTCATCAAATAAACCAAGCAACCCGGAAACATCCATCGGCATAGCCTAAACTGGGGAGGGAGTATGCCATCCGATGCTAAACTAGGAGGGTGGTAAACATGAGAGTATTAGACCTTTTGTTTTCCTTTCCTCAGTCTTTCTAGTTCTGTTTCGGCGTCTTTCAACTGCTGCCTTAGAGTGAGCACCCTTTGCTCCAACTCTTCCACTGTGCCTTTGCTGGTGGAAGGTTGGTATGGTGTCAGAAAATGACACGAAAACGCTTTTAGAGCATCAACTCCTGTAACCTACAAAAGTAATCAAAGGGATGATGAATAATAAGTCAATGATTGTAATTGTGCTTATACAATGACAAATGTCAGATTACGAATACTCATGGTGCAAATGTTAATGCAAATTCTAAAGCTAATAAGCCTTAGAGAAAGAAGCCTTGAAAATAGGTGAATTTAGTTACCACATACAGTACCAAATTGGAATCAAATCGAAGAATAAAGAGGCCTCAGATATTTTATGGATAGAAATCATCAGATGGTGGTCTCACAAAACCCATCAAGAATATCTCCCACACTATACATTGTGGAATGAAAAAAAGGAGTCTTAGTAAATTAATCAACCGACCGAAGAAATATCAAAGCACTGGGATATTCGGTGTGAAATCACATTCCTTTTTCTCGGATAACCGAATATTCTACCAAAAAAATTATAAGAATATTTGAATAAATATAACTAAACAAAAATAACAATCCATCAAATGGAAAGTACCGGGAAGCATGTTGCAGAAGTTTACAGATCACCAACCCTCTTTTCTTTCCAGAACAAGTCAAAGTTTCATAAATTATGGCACTCTATGGTCTTACCTCTTCCGGCAGCAATGGCAGCTTGGTGATGTTAAAGTCATCATACAACACGTAGAACTGATCTAGGTACTTTTGTTGCATTCGCATTCTTGCTTTGAGTAGAGTAGATTCTGTGCCTACAAAAACAAAATTACCCAAAAGATGATTAAACTTAAGCTCAGAGCACGTAAAAGAAATTAATGTACACGGACACAGTAGGCATACCTTCTTCATCGTAAAGTACTTGGTTAATGATGATATTGTGTGTATCTATCTCGAATTTGGTGAGTTCCTGCACCAGTCTCTCTGTTTCATAGAGAGAGAGGAACTCTGGGATGCAAACGCAGACAAAGGTTGTCAAGTCCTGCCAAAAGTGAGATTGAATGCATCCATAAATGCCTATATATTTGGAAATTTAATTTGGAGGCAAAAGTGTGATGAAGTTTGGAAAGCAACTTTAGATTTTGAAAAGAACTTAAAATTCCTTCTCCTTTCAAAACTGACTCATCAAAGCATCTCTACTCACGATATTGAAGGAAACAAAAGGTTTCAGCTTCTATCTAACTGATAGGAGCATATTCATGCGACTTAAATGGCTTGTTCTCGTACATTTACGTTATGTTTCTTTAGTTATTTTAGTCCTTTATGCTTCTTTTGTGTGTTTTCAGGATCATAAGACGTGTTTGACGAAAGGATGCATTATGGAGTGTTTTGGGGCCTTTTGGAGCACTATTGGGCTAAGGATGGATAGCTTATGCTTGGAGCCCAAGTGTTGGATGAAATTGAAGATCAAACCATTCACTTATCACTTATCAAACCATTCACTTATCACTTATCACTTATCACTCCCATCCACTTCATCATTGCAACACAAATCACCCACATGCACTCTTAATCATTCATCCATTCCACATGCATTCTTCATCATTGCACCACAAATCATTCTTTGCCGTGCACATGGTCTTCCCTTCACATTCACCCACATGCACACACATGCAATTACACACACCATCTTCCCCTTTACAAAACACTTGTGTCGTGCTTATACATCCTTTATCCCATCCCATTTCCAACCTTTCCACATGCATTCCCACTTTCCTAGTTGTCATCCACATGCATTCACAAACACTTCACACAAACAAACACCCCATGCCGTGCATCTCCACAATCCCATTCATCAACACATGCATTCATTATTCATTCACCTTGCATTCCCTTTACATTTCAACCCACATGCACTTTAATCATTCAAACATGCAGCCACATAATCATTCACCCTATCCATTCTATGTCACAAAACAATGTCACATGCACCATCAAAACATCCTTTGCCGTGGCCCTTGCAAATCCATCCCATTTTCAGCCATTACACTCCTTCAATTCAGCCACCATTCATTCTTTATTCCACATACACTCATCATCACACACCCTAGCTATCATTCACATGCATTCACATGCATCACAACCCCAAAACCATCAAGAAAACACCCTTGCCGTGGCCTTCACTCACACTTCCAGCTTTCCACCTTGCATTTCCAGATTATTCCTTCATCATTGCATCCATTCCACATGCATTCTTCATCATTGCACCACAAATCAGCTCATCCCACACTCCATGCCGTGGCCTACCTCCCATTTCCAGCACCTTCACATGCCATTTCCAGCTTTCCACCTAGCTTTCCACCTCACAACCACCAGAAATCAACCATAACGTGCATTCCCTTTCAAATCTGTCAACATACAAACACCTTCACATGCATTTCCCACCTAACATTTCCCCTTTTAATGCACATGCATGCCCTTCATAAATCAGCCACATTCACACACCTTTTCTCCACCCTTTGCCGTGCAAATCATCACCATTCCAGCTTTCCAACCTAGCCACATTCACATGCATTTAATCATAATCATTCACTCACCTTGCAGCCACATTTCCACCCACCTCCTAGCTGTCATGTTCCCCCTTATTTACCTATAAATAAACACCTCATTTCATTCATTCAAACACATCTCATTTCATACACAACACCACACCACAAACACATCCACTTCTTCATAGCCGTGAGTCCCCATTCCCTTATAATCCAAACACCATTCCTCATCCATTTCCATAATTCCCCAATCCATTCAACACACCAACAACATCCCTTAGACCTTGTGCCACAATAAAGAGGAAGATAAGAGGGCCTAAACGTTCATACAATTCAAGTTTGAGTTGTTGGAATGTTTAGGCATTTCTTTGATTTCAATGTTTAATTTCAATTCTCTTTATTTTGTACGTATGAGGAACTAAACCCCCCTTAGCTAGGGGGTGATTCGAAATATATGTTTATGCTTGTGTTTTGATTTGATTACTTCTAATTGTGTTTCATAAGTTGTGAATTCAATTTGTTTAACTATTTGATTGATAACCTATTTATGTATGTTTATTGAGAGTTCACGCTTAATTTTCATGCATGAATATGACACTAGAATATAAGTGAGTTTCACGTAATAGTTATGAACTTATATTCACAAGTAGTGGAGGTTGCTTATAAACAATCGCGTTAAACAAATTCTTGGCATAAGTTTCATGCAATCATAGTAACGAATGCCTCGTCAACACTTATAATTTTCATAGAGCGTAATGATTCTTGCTTGTATCTCTATTATGCAATCATGTAGGGGACTTGTGGGGAATGTTTTGGGTTGTCGTATGCAATCATCCAATTCAATAACGTTAGGAAGATTTGAAGGTTAATTTAAGCGGACCTAATTAACCCGGGGTGATGAGTTTCATAATTCATTGAAATGCAATTGGAAATCTTTTTATTATGCAAGTATAACATGTGTGGAGATGAACCCCTTGGCTAGCATCCATTCATTCCATTTCATCAATTTCATATTTACATTCTGTCTAGTTTATTAACTTGTTTCGTTATTTCAATTTTCGTCAAACCTCAATCCCCCTTTTGCTTTAATGTTCAATTTAGTTAGAAATCAATTTAGTTTGTGTTTTTAAAGCATTTTGAGTCTTTTGGTTTGTCTTAGTGTTTTAACGTTTAGTTTCACATTCTTTGAGTCTAGTTTAGTGTTTTATATTGTGTTTTTACGTTTTTGAGTGAAATCCAAGTGATTAACAATCCCTCCTAATCCCCGGTCCTGAACGATCCCTACTTACATACTTACTACAATTGTCAAAAAGAAGGTTTAATTTGTGTGCGTATAATTCTCGCATCACTAACCACGTCAAAAAGTACTCTCTCTTCTTTAAGGGTGAGGATTGGAGATCAGGAAGTACCAAAGAGTGACCGCCTTCGCTACCTAGGATCTATCTTGCAAAAGAACAAAAAGTTGGATGGCGACCTCAACCATAGAATGCAAGCTGGATGGATGAAGTGGAAGAGTGCATCGGGTGTGTTGTGCGACCGTCGTATGCCACTAAAGCTCAAGGGAAAATTTTATAAGACGGCTATAAGGCCAACAATGCTTTATGGTACGGAATGTTGGGCGGTGAACCTTCAACACGTACATAAAATGAGTGTAGCGGAGATGAGAATGCTTCATTGGATCTGTGGGCATACGAGAAGGATAAGATATGAGGATATTCGAGGTAAAGTAGGGAGTAGCCAAAATTGATTGAACGATGAGAGAAAATCGGTTACGGTGGTTTGGACGTATGAAACGAAAGCCAATTGACGCTCTAGTTAGAAGATGCGATTACGAGACAGACGTTCAGAGCCAAAGGGGTAGAGGAAGACCTAGGAAGACTTTGGAAGAGACTCTAAGAAAAGACTTGGATTACTCGGATCTAACGGAAGACGTGACACATAATCGAGCGCAATGACATTCTAGAATTCATACAGCCGACCCCACTTAGTGGGAAAAGGCTTTGTTGTTGTTGTTGTTGTAGGGAACCAAAACCTAACCAAGGAAAAAAGTTTATTTTTCTTTCAATAATTATTTACCCCTTTTACCTTTACTTTAATGTATTACAGATCTGAAACATATATGTATCCAAAATCAATGTTACAGTCAACAAAAAAAAAGGAAAATGAATGAGCAGACTTACTGGATCTTTGAATTGCTGATTAACTTGTTCAATCACATCTTTCATGCCCTCCAGCTTTCCCAGAATTGCATCCTCTCCAAACTCGTCACCAACACCAAAGAGGCTTGTCATCTGTCTCAATCAATTTTGAAACACTTAATACCATCAATGTAGAAACAGTTGTACCTGACCAATTACAAGCCTACAAAACTTGGACAATAGGAATTGTGAAAAAGTGAAAAGTCCACTCGTGTCTTAAACCATATATATTTGAATGCAAGGAAAGATATGACTGACAAGAGGGTTCAACGGTATATACCTGAGTCATTAAACCGCCAAATTTATTTTTCAAAGACATCACTTTCGCCAAACCTTTCTCCATGGTTGATGGAAACTGCAACAGTCGAAGCGTATGGCCAGTTGGTGCAGTATCAAATACTATAACCGAATAATCCATTGTTTGGACCAGTCTGCAGGGACATAATTTCCACAAATGATTTAGCAGATTGATTACTAACGCAAAATTAAAATAAGTAGCACATGCAAGGAAATCTACCAAGATAGTAAACAGCAAGCAAGTATTGGGTTTATAAGAAACAAACATAAGGGATCACAAATCTCACTTTAGCATCTCTGCAAAGCTCATGGCCTCATCAATTCCAGGAATGGCATTTGCTAGATCAGAAAACAAATTATCCATTCCATCGCTTCCGCTCATGTCTTCGTGCTCAACGGTAGGATCCACTTCCTACGTAGGATCAAAACCAAACAATGAGACTGGCATAAGTTGCAAACTACACACAGACAATTGCATGCACAAAGAGGTCAAATTCAGAAACATTCATTAGACCAGGCAATGAATAATTGGCTCTAATTTCAGAAAAGAAGATCAAATTCTCAACAAATTGTTCAGAGAACTGAAACGCACTCAAAATCTATGAACTGAGAATCCCGAATTTGCTCAAATAACAGCAAATTCTAAGAATCCAGCAACTGGGTATCTCTCAAATTCATCAAAAACCCAAAATTCCACCCAAAAATAATTCCCAAAATCCAAAATTTACTGAAAGAAGAAATAATTAACCAGTATAAATAAATTGTGAATCGAAGAGCTTACCATGGCATAGAGATTGGTGAACCCATTAACCAAAGTTGGAGTCTTGGTGAACTTCTGCTGAAAAGCATCGCTGAGATTGTGAGCGGGGTCGGTGGAGATGATCAAAACGGAGGATCTGACTCGGGAGAGAAGGATCGAGAGGATCGAGCTGCATGTCGTTTTGCCCACACCACCTTTGCCACCAACAAAGACCCACTTGAGGCTCTCTTGCTCCAGTACGTTCTGTATAGTCCCCTCTAGTAAATCTGACGCTGCCGCCATTTACTCACAGACCACCGTTTACTCTCTCTCAAGAGTAAGCACTTGAACCCAGAAATCTAGAGAGAGAAGGAAACAGTTGGAAGGAGACTGAGTGAATCGAACCCGGGGACGTTATTATTTCGGGTGGGGTTGAGCCCATGCTCTTCCAAAGGTGATTGTTGTTGTGGTGAGAGCAAGGTTCAAAAACATGTTAGTCGGGTTGTGGATTGGAACCTAGTGCTTAGGTAATTAGGTGAATTAGTCGAATTTAAATAAATTTATTACATATCATATAAATAAGTATTTGCTTATATTTAAAAATTGTATACATAATTACATTGAAAAACATAAATTGTAAAATAGAATGATATATATATATATATATATTATAAAGTAGTAGAACCTAATAAAACATGAGAACAAGTATATAATATGTGCTCATCTAAGTATTCAACAAATCTCTTATACTTTATTAAAAGAAATAGAATGAAAAATAAAAGTTATCTATTTTTTGTATAAGTAAGAGCCTCAAGGCGGGTTTAGGAGGCCTTGGCGAGCGCCTAAGCAGGTCTAGACGTCATTTTTTGAATTTCAAATGCCTAACGATTAATCAAGACGGTGGCTAACCACCTAGCTCCTAGACGCCTAGGCAATGCTAGACAGGGATTTTAGAAAAGTGGCTCAGAGTGAGATGGCAGCCAAAAACCTGCATAACAGAATGATCCGGTCCTATGCAGCCGAATCGTCTTTTTATTTTTTTTTATATGATAATTTTTAGAACCCCTTGTAGAATTTAGAACAGTTACTCAAGATTTTGGAGGAAGTCCCTCTCAAAATACAAATAACAGGATAAATATATTAAAATTCATCTAAACTACAGTAAGCATGATTCGAAATGCAAAGAGTAAAAAAATAAATTGAGAGTGAAAAACTTTGAGGGTCACAATTTCACTATTCGAACTTGCACGATTAAACTTTTTGAGGATTCTTTCTTTCTTATGACTTAGGTCATTTTCTAAGAAAAAACAAGCTGTTAATTAATTGGCAAATGCCCAATCAAAGAAAGGTTTATATTAATTTAGGCATGTAAAATCTGCTGTATAATTATATTAAGCTGCTATAACATTTTGGGAACTTGGAAAACATATTACAGAAGATTCAAGTCTTCATTTTTCATTTGAAGGCCACCAATAAACAAGCATTATTGGCATTGATTTATCCTCGGAAAGTCAAGTTTCATTGTACAAAGCACTGTTCCAAAAATCTCCGCCTAGCGTCGCCTAGGCGCTAGGCGGCTAGCCATTGTCCCGATTAATCTCTAGGCATTTTAAAATTAAAAAAAGGTGCCTAAACCTGCTGAGGCACTCGCCTAGACCGCCCAGACACCTGCTTAGCCTGCCCAGACCCGCCTAGGTTGGGACTCACTTAGACAAAAAATAGATAACTTTCATTTTGCATTTTATTTTTTCAAATAAATTGTAAGAAACTTGTTGAGTACTTAACTGAACACACATTATCATAATATACATCATTCTATTTTGTAGTCTATGATAAAATTATATATTTTTAAGTATAACAGATACTTATTTACACAAAATATAATAAATTACTTAAATCTGGTCTGCCTAGGCGCCCCATCTAGGCCCTGCCTAGCCACCTAGGCTCTAGGCCATAACCTGCCGCCCGACTAGTGCCTAGTGTCTTTTAGAACCATGGTACAAAGAGAAGAGGGATGGAAATTAGTAGAGAGAGTTATAGGTGAAGTAGGTTACAACAATGGAAGTGACACAGATGAAGAGTGTTATGTCTATTATAAAAAGAGGACTCGGCCAACAGGTGAATTCGGCCAACATATAGGCCAAATGTCTAAGAATCTAATCTTTTATTAGAGCAGATGTCTCCTGAAAGTTAGAAACCTCTATCTTAGTATCTTCAAGATTCTTCACTTGAGCAAAATTGGTCTCAAACTTTTGACGACATGAATGATACTTAGCTACAACTTTGGCAAAAACTGGGCAAACTCGGGACCAATAGTCCTTGCAACCACAGTAGTAACACATATCCGCTTCTATGGTGGCAGGTGTTTTGCCTTTATTGTTGAAGTTGGAGGCTTTAGGAGTGGGGTTGTCACACTTCAGGGCTTTGCTTCCTCCTTTGGATAGACCATAACTCTGTCAATGTTGGGCCTTCGACTTTAGGTTGGACCGTAGCTGTGCCTACCATGCATAGAATGTTGTTTTGGGCATCCGTTTATGTTGGCATATGCTTTTTTAGGCACATCAGTCAAGCTATATCCCCAAAATTTTAAGTGGTGATTAAGAGTGGATTATTTGTGGCCATTGTATTGGGATACATAAATTGCATAATAAAATGACATAAATTATAAAGTGTAAAATCCTGTTCCCGGATTTCACTATTTAAAATTACATATTTCGTATTCTTATTCGTAGTTCGATGCGTTTTTATATTTACGGCATATAAATTTTTCGATAAGTGAAATGACGAAAACTCCCTTAATGACCTAAACAGAATTTTCACGGATGTATTTAATCATTTCATGATTTTCCAGAGTTCTTTCACATATTTGGATAGTACGTGTCAATATGAACACATGAGCACAAATGAATTGTAATGTGGTATTATAACGAAAGAGTTATAAACGACTGAAGTTGAGGTCAAAGAAAAAAAAAAAAGGTCCTATAATTATTAATGTGGCTCTAGATTTGTTGGAGCAAGAACTGCTAGGATGAAGCCACATGTGTGGCTATGATGGAAGGAAGAGAAAAAAAGGAGAAGAACGTTCTTTCACGTTCTTCCTTTCTCTGCAAGGGAAGAAAAAAAATGGAGAGGAGGTAGCTCTTCCATAGCTTTTGGAAGAAAATTCTTCTTTCTTCAGACAAAAATCAGACAGAGGTGAGGAAATCTGGTGATAGGTTAGGCTTTGATTGATCAAAGGAGTGTAGGTGGATGGCCTAGGAAGCTAGATTTTCATCATGGCTTTGATAGGATTAAGTAGGATTAGAGTAACTATAAGAGGGGTTGAAGAGGCTGCAGAGAAGGGGCAAAACATCAGAAATAGAAAATGGCGCAGAGAAATTGAGAGTTAGATAGCGTAATTGTGAAGGAAGGATTCAGAGATTTAAAGGGTAAATTCCTTGTTCCTTGATTATCTTGATTTTCAAATTTAATTTCCTTAAGTTGAATTGAAACTGCCATGATATATTTGAAGTTCTTGTGTAGTCAAACTAAGATTTTAAAAGATTTAAAAGTGATAGATTTGATAGGATTTAGGAGGATTTAAGACTCCTACAAAATTCATATGGATTTTATAGAATTTGAATGGATTTAGTTTGTAGATTTTGGTGGATTGTAGTGGATTTTCATATAATTTTTTTATTGAAAAAAAAAAGAGGAAAAATCTTTCCCCTTGCCCTACTATACTTGATAGCCACTTTATCCCCTCCCTTTTCTGGTCCCCTTTCACAAACCACGACTTCATCTTTTTCTCAATTGATAGATTAACATAATTTTGGTGAGCTTTTGAGCACTACACCACCAACAACTATCACCACCGACTGCCCTTTTGCCACATATGGACGTTGTGGAACTTCAGTAGTGCTTGTAGTACCAAAGACATTAAAAAATCTGAATGGTGAGAGAGTAATATTAACCAAAATCCTAGATTGATCATGTCCTTCGATGATCATACATGCCTAATTAAGGTCTAAGGGTCATAATAAGAGATTCCACTAAAGTATATGGTGGTTGCCTATGTGTGGCTCAGGTTGATAGAGATTTGAAGACTGTCCAGATGGAAAAGGATTTGAAATCCTAGGGGGGTGAGGTTGGATTCTTTTTAGTCTTGGTTATATATACTTGCTCTCAAATCCCACAAAATCCACAACTTATTGAAATCCTCCAAAATCTTAATTTTTTGAATACACTTAGATTTGGATGGATTTTAAAATCCTTTAAAATCTTTTAATTGACTACCCCTAGATTTGAATGGATTCTAAAATCCTTTAAAATCTTTTAATTGACTACACTAGGATTTTAAAGTTTTTTAAAATACTCTCAAATCCGAGTTTGACTACACCCTTTATTTAGGGTTTTCTATCATTCATTGAACCAGTCTGAACATGAATTAGAGTTGGGTAATTCGGATTAGGTGTGTAGATCAAATTTCTTGATCAAGGGTTTGGTTAAAAAGGTCAATTTCTTGTTAATTTTGAGTCATGTTAGTTCTGGATGTTGTATACATGACTTCTGAACTACCTGATGTAAAAACTCAAGTACGCTCAAGGTTTACTTCAATTGCTTACCTTTTCAATGAGAGGCTGCATGTATTTATATTCCACTTCAGATTACATCAGGGAATTAAATCCTTATTTACAAGGATATTCAAAATTCAAAACTACAACAAAAAAGATTTAAACTTTGAATATACAGTAAACAAATATTTGAAAGAGTTTGAAACTAATCTAACTCTTGTTGGATAACTCTTCTACTCACTCACAAACTCCTAAGGCTCATAGAGACTATAACTTGGCCTAACATCCCCCCACAAGCTTACAGGCGGAGAGACAACTGGAAGGTTGGATACAAGAAGTTTGAATCGTGAAGAAGACAATCATTTTGTAAGCAAATCAGCAATCTGATCTTGAGAACAAATATAATTCACAAGTAACTGACCACGAACCACCTTCTCACAAACATAATGATAATATACTTCCAAATGCTTTGTTCTTGAATGAAACACAAGGTTTGAAGCGAGTGCAATGGACGAGATATTGTCACACCAAATTGTTAGACGTTGAAGATGTAAATGCAGGTCGCGAAAAAGAGACCTGAGCCAAGATAGTTCAGTAGTTGTGTATGCCAGCTGCCTATACTCATCTTCTGATCTTGATCTAGACACCGTTTTTTGTTTCTTAGAGCTCCAGGAAACAAGATTAGAACCCAAGTAAATGCAGAAACAACCAGTTGAATGTCGTGGGTCAGGATTCCAAGCATAATCAGCATCAGAAAATGTCGTGAGATGTGTAGTGCTAGGTTTATACAAAAGACCATGGTTGTATGTGGCCTTTACATAACAAAGAATCCTCTTGACTGCCATCCAATGTGTATTCTTTAGAGAATGCATGAATTGACATACC